AAGACTGTCTATTGATTGTTCACACACTTGTCTGGACATGAATATATATATTTCGCTCACACAATCTTGTGTGACTACTTTGGTGTGATACCACTTTTGCATTCTCCTTGTGTTTGGAAAATAGAAGTATCATTGCAAACCTAGCGGTCTTCTGATTTCCGTCTTCTTGCGTCAGGACTATTAAATTCTCGACCAGTACATAGCAGAGAAGACAGCTGTCCAGTACTCCCAGCTGGTTTTCCAATGGGGTTCTCTAACTGATGTCAGCTCATGATGAAATCCTTCATGCAGTCACACGAATTGTTTTGTTTGAGAATATCAGGAGTGTCAAAAAAGATTATTTTATCGTTCTTTTCTGTTTCCTTTATTATTATCAAAGATTCTAAGATCGTATCAGTTGAACTGTTGTTCGTAGTTTTGTGTGCATGAATAACTCACAACACTGAGTGAATGCATATATCAAAGGGTGATGTTGAGATGTTATCTTTCACCGATATCCTGTGTCCTGCAATTGATGCTGTCTATTCTATACATGATTTTAGTTTTATCTTCTTTGACTGTTGTTGGATATGCGATGAAGACACCTTGTCAGTTTGTGAACGACTTTTAGTTGGTTTCAAACTGTTTACATCTAGGGAGAGAGAGAGGTGTAGACTCCTTGGGGTTGATATCCCTAGGATACTAAGAATCGATGACTGGAGACGACTACTGCTCGTGATATCTTTCAGAATCATTCTTACTGATGGATTCAGATAGATTCACTCTTTGTAATTGTCCATGTTACTATTCTATCACCCACACATTTCTATTCATTATAGTCCTTTTGACTTTCTATTTTGATTGGTTGGAGGTTTTCATTGGTTAGAGAACCATTGAAAAACTAGCCATAGGGAGTGTTACGAAGGTGACTGAGTCTTAGAACGATGAGTGATCCTTGAATCTTGAAAAGACGAATGAACCAAGAATTTAGGCTTTATTCATTTTACAATGAAGCCGGAATGGCTTAAACATATAAAGGAAAAAAGAGTGTTAATAGCGGTAGAGATATGAATATGACTAGATACGTATTATAAAAAAAGTTCACAACAGGGAGTACTAGACAGCTAGTTGTTTCGTCAGTCTAGTTTGGGACTCTTCAACACAGTACGCACCCATCACAGGGAGTTCGAACCCAGGACCTTCTGGTTACAAGGTTAGCAAGCTCGTAGACTATTAAGCCACTCGAACCTGATCCAATTGGCAGTTAAACTAAATCCCTACAAAAATCAATACTTGAGAATCTCTATTTTCTCTACCTTTGTATGCGACATGGAATGTTAGCAAATTGAATTGGTGCATTTCTGAGCAAAATTCTATGTTGAAACAGTCAGTGAGTCAGTCACTCAGTTAGTCAGTTTCAATATTCTAGTATTGATTTCGGTAGATAGCACGATTTACTTTGTCGTCTCATTGTTACTGATTTTCTATCAGTCTGCTGATTTGATAACAGACACTTTTTTATGATAAAGTGACTCTCAAGCTATATGTCTCCTTGTTTTTCTTTTGAAGGCTGAAACACTGTTTATTCACTGGCACATTTCTTAGTGCTGTTACCTTATCCACTAGAGTTCGTAAAGCGACTGGCCCTATTCAGGCAGGTAGTTACCCGGGGTTCTAGTAGGACGCCGTGACCAGTAGGGTACAGCAGGTTGAAGATGAGGCAGTCAGTCACTCATCAAAGAAGACATTGCGAAATGGTCGCGCTATGTCGTGAATTGTTAGAAGTTAGAATTCTAGGACCATTGGATCGGGTCCCATTTGCTTAATGGTCTACTAGCTCGCTAGCCTTGTAACCAGGAATTCCTGGGTTGGAACTCCCTCTGTGGTGGGTACACAGAGTTGTCTCACATCCTCAGCTCGGAGAGGCCAGGTTTCACAGGCCTGGCGTAGAGCAAGACAGCCCGAACCGAAGCATTGTATACCCGACCTTTGATAGCCAGGCTAACGTCGCGACGGCGCCATAAGTGGCTCAAGTTGATGTATGCCACCCTAGCCTTCATTATACGGTTGGAAATCTCATCCGTCACCCCTCCTCCAGCACCCATACAACTACCCACCCAGATACACAAACTTATTAATAACTTCAAGCGGTTTACCCGCAAGAGTGAGTGCAGGTACAGGCTCCTGTCAATCTTGTAACAGTACTTCGTACTTAGACGGCGCAAAGTACATACCATACTTACAGACACTGAAGTGATCGTTCAGTTCTTTCTGATAGTTTTCAATACTTCTTGAACTGATATCAATCCGACATCAAATTTGAAATAAATGAAAGCCATTAAAAGCTTACTTTTTGAATAAAAATTTCTCCACAATGCGTGTAATGTGTAGTCTCATTTCAAACAGTTTCATCAGAATTTTATGTCTTGTTGTCAGCTTCACTACAATATAGAGAATACTTCTTTGCAATTCAGTAATCAATTCTAATCCCCTTTTTGTGTATAATATTTAATTGGTGGATGGTGACTACCAGTGGAATCCAGGATAACATGAATTTCGTCCTTTTTGAGACTCGTGGTCAGTTGGATGTACCTGAATTTCTCAGTGAGTGAGTGAGTGATGATGTTCCCAGGCTCGAGACTCGAACCCAGTGCCCATAGTTTCAAAACGCCGAACCGTTATCCATTAGACCACTTGGGCCACGAGACCCACTTCTTGTGCAATGGTTCTTATTAATTGAATTGAATTTTAGATAACGCTTTGACGTTTGAAACTATGGGCCCTGGGTTCGAGCTTCGAGTCTGGGAACATCATCACTCACTGAGGAATGGAGGTACATCCAGCTGGCGGACGAGTCCCAAATAGGACAACATTCGCCTTATCCTAGTTTCCACTGGTAGTCACCATCCACCAAATTAACCTCTAATTAAATGCTTAGACATCGTTGAAGCATGTGCACAAGAAGCCAACAGACATGTCAACCTGATACCGAGCACCCCCTTTTATGTAGTTTTTTAAATATTCATGACAAAGGAAGTTTTTTTGTTTTTTGCTACCCTTTTAGAGTCTACACGCATATTTGTGTTTTGCTAGTTAGAGTTGGTCGGTTGGTCGGTTAGGTGGGGGGTTGGTTGGAGAGAGGTGACTTTCGTTCACTAGATGAGAAACATGAAGACAAATCCATCTTTCTCTCTTTTGTCTTTTTAAAAGAATTTCCGTCCTTAACAGTAGATAGTGAATTTCTTATTCCAGGGTGAATAATCGTCAGATATCTGTACTGTTAGTGTATCCCAAATTACTTCACGGTCAACTTTGTCTATCGAAGGCCTTCTCAAAGTCTATAAAGTGGAGGTAGAGGTTTGATTGCCATTCCATGCTTTGTTCTGTGATGATGATGCGTTGAGTTACAATTTAATCAGAACATGATTTGCCTAACTTTCCTGAATCCAGCTTGTTCTGATCGGAGTTCTGTCTCCAGTGCGTTCTTTAATCTCTCCAGGATGATTTTACTTGGCGTCGACAGGAGCAGAGCATGACTCCTCGCCAGTTCTTGCAGAGTGAGGCGTAAGTCGCCCTTCTTCGATAGTTTAACGAGGTAACCTTTCCTCTAGTCAGTAGGCACCTTTTCTCTCCTTCCAAACCTTTTGCAATAATGGAGTCAGCATGTCTGCTGTAGTCTCTGGGTCCGCTTTTAGTACTTCAGGGGGTATTCCATCTGGTCCAGCTGCTTTTCCAGCTTTCAGAAGCTTGATTGCATTCAAGACTTCAGCTCTCGTTGGAGGAGCCTAAGGGAGCAATAATAATAATAATAATAAGTGTATCCCTGTTAAATGGATATTTTGAAACGTGTAAATATAAAGAGAATGGAGGGTTGGGTGGGTAGGTGGAAATCTAAGACGAATAAATTATTTCAAACATATCTATATGTGTATATCTGTTTTGTTTTTAAAAAAAATATTTTCGCATTTTATTGATACTTTTGTATTCATGTATTCGTTGAAAGCATTGAAGAGAAAGGGAGAGAGAGAGAGAGAGAGCAAGAGAACGACACGAGTTTATGCTGAATAATAGTCCATACCTAGCATACTTTAGTCAGTGGATAGGACATATAATTTGGTATGCATATTCCTTCTATCGATCTTAGACAATACGCCCTGGACTGGACATGCATGATATATATCTATTCATCTCTCATTCTTATGGTGGAGAGAGAACAGAAGAGAAGAAAGGGGTTTTAGTATAGAGAAGATCTCTCTCTCTCTCTCTTATGTATCTATCCATACAAAAAGAATTCTCTTATCAGTTGGGAACAAACAAATTAAATAAAAACAACGAAAACAGAAAAACAACAGAATAATATCTCGAGAGCCAGTGTAGGTACATGAAAATGTCCATAATGATAATAATATGACCATTCACTGAAGTATTCGACCGACACACACACACACACATACACATGCAGTCGCGCGTACGTATGTAGGTACATGTGACAGACTCATTTGAAGAAAAAAAACCACAAATAGGAGGATTCGATTACGTTTGAAGAATTATATTGACATGTAGACAGGCGGAGAGACAGAGAGAATTTGTGTGTGTGTGTGTGTGTGTAACACACACTGTTGTTGAAATGGTTTCTTTGTCTAGGTTATAGGATCGGGTCCCAGTGGCTTGATGGTCTACGATCTAACTCGCCTTGTAGCCAAAAGGTCCTGGATTCGAACCCTGTGTGGTCATACTTGAAATCGATCGAATTCCTGCGAACAAACACTTGCAAATCTGCCTAAAGTTGAAGATAACTATACGCAAGCCAATGAGTCGTGAAGAGAAAAAGTATTCACTGCATCAATGCTCAGGCATATTGGGAGTCATTAGCATCAGACTGACAGGTTGTTGTATACAAAATAAACTTTCTGAGGATGATAGGTTTGAATGAACGTCATTAGTGTTTCACATCCTTTGCACACCCTATTTTCCTCCTTTTTTTATTCTCCTGTTTCCCTTTTTTTTGTTGTTTCAATTAGGTCGAATCACCAGTAAAGATGGTCGTGCTTTATGCTTAAAACTTAAAGATTGGCCAACTACAGATGATTTTGCTGAACTGCAACCAAAACGTTTCTCAGATTTAATGTCAAATTTACCAATGCCAGATTATACACGACGTGATGGTCAATTGAATTTAGCCGCCAGACTGGCATCATTTTTTGTCTGTCCTGATTTAGGGCCTAAATTGTATGTAGCCTATGGGACAGTTGGTTCAAATGCGGTAAGTTCAGTGGTTTATGTTTTTTTAAGTGTTGGTTTGTAGGGATTTAATTGATTAGTTACAGGATTTCATCATGAATTAACATTGGTTAGAGAATCATTCAAAAACGTGGGAGTACTGACAGCTGTTTCGTCCTAGTGCGCTTGGGATTCTCCAGCAGTACGCATCCGCCACAGGGAGTTTGAACGCAGGACCTTCTGGTTACAAGGAGAGCTAGTATACCATTAAGCCACTGGGATCCTATCCAATGGCTAGTCTATGAATTCTAACTTCTGCCAATTCACTACATAGCGCGACCCCTAGCCCTATTTTTTTAATTTGGGGAACAGATGTCTTTTTCACACATTATTTAACCATTGTTATATTATTATCATGAATATCATGGGATTTGTGCGGATCTGGATTAGTTTGATTGCAATTGTTAGATTTTGTCATGAACTAATAACAGTTGAAGAGATCGACTGGAAACCCAGTAGGGAGTATTGAACAGCTTTTTCGTTGCAGCTTAGGACTCTTCATCTGTGCTCACCCGTAAATCCTATCAATGGGGGATTGAACCCTTGAACTTTCAACCACTTAAGTCGGAGTTCAATGACCTGTGAATTTCACAATCTAAATGCTAATCTCCAGTTCATGCATGAATTTACTTCATGAATGCCCTGAAGGTGCAATGTGAAGTGGTAACCACTGGGGTTGAACGATATCAAGGTAAAGCGGATACTTATCGAAGATATTGGTGACGGAAGTGCTATATCCACGGACTGACAAAATTTCAACTTCATAGATGATTGAATTCCTATCCAAGGGGCTAGGAATGGGTCTACAATCTTGGTTGGATCCCTGTTGATGTGGTCGTGGATGCGTACTAATGAAGAGTCAGTCCCCCAAAACAAGGACAAAACAGTTGTCAGTTACTATCTGGTTTCACTGTTCTCAATAATTGATGTGATGAATCGTGATGAGACAACCTAACAATTGACCTACAGTTAGTTGTTTATTAGCAAGACACGATAGTTGGACTTGTATACCACAGTGCATACTAGTGAGCTTAACTGTCTGGCATGACTGTTCAAAAGAGGCTTATGATATTCAAGTGTTGATTTGTAGGGATTTGGTTGATTGGTTACAGGATTTCATCATGAGCTGGCATCAGTTAGAGAACCATTGGAAGACCTGTAGGGAGTACTGGACAACTGTTACGTCAGCCTAGTTTGCGACTCTTCAGCAGTACGCACGCAAACTGCGAAGTTCGAACCCAGGAAATTCTGATTACAAGGCGAGCTTGTATACCATTAAGCCACTGGGACCCGGTCCAATGGCCAGCCAGTTCATGAATTCTAACTTCTGCCAATTCACGACATAGCGCGCAACCCTTAGCCAATGTCTTCGGTGGCGAGTATTCGTCCTCACACCCGACTCGGCTTATGATCCTAGAAATGTCGTCTGGATAATAGTGAAACTAAGAGTGGTTTCCTATTGTGGTTCAAAAGCTAAAGCATACGAGTTTATTCATTGTAGAGATCTAGTTTATTGACTTAAACATTCTAATTTATCAGTCAGTAAGTCTTCGGATCTAATTCTTTTTGAATGTACTTCAGCTTGAACAGCTCTATAGTATCATCATGTGTAGTTCATAGCCTGAAACGCGAAAGAAAATCTGTTCTGTGTAGCCTATTTTAACTGGCTGGTTTAATCGGTATGCAATTATTTCATAGAACAGTGAATGGTGTTCATGAATACACCCTGACAATGTTTCATCATATATATACACAGATACAATAGGCATTTTGATTAACACGTTTTAGTATATCAAGTGTGGGTCAGTGTCTCTTCAAGTAGGAGAATACTCAGTAGGTCATATAAGTGATTAGGATTGGATTCCCATCTGATACACCCCTCTCTGTGCCTCGTTTTACCCCTGTTATAGGATAGGTAGTGTAGAAAAGATGAAAGGAAGAAATTAAGAAAACAATACCAAAACATGTCGACTGAAACTTTAAGAGAAGTTTGAAGTTCCATGTTGTAATGAGAACACGCAAAGCAGTCAAATAATAAAATTTTCATGTATTGGTGGTTTGTAGGGATATTGTTTGGTTGATTGGTTGGAGGATTTCATCATGAGCTGACTGACATTGGTTGGTTAGAGAACGGTTGGTAAACCTGCAGGGAGAACTGGACTGGTAGCTGTTTGGTAAGTCTAGTTTGGGACTCTTCAGCACAGCAGGCACCCGCCACAGGGAGTTCGAACCCAGGAGCTTCTGGTTACAAGGCTAGCGAGCTCGTAGAGCATTAAGCCACGTGGATCCAATCCAATGATCAGTCTATGAATTATATAACTTCAGCCAATTCATTACATAGCGCGACCAACTCGCAATGTCTTCGTCGATGAGTAATTGTCCTAACCTTCAACGTGCTGTACCCTACTGGCGACGGCTTCCCACTAGAACCCCGGGTAACTACCTGCCTGAATAGGGTCAATAGCTAGTGAGCATCTCATTGATATTCAAGTATTGGTTTTTGTGTATGGATTTCGTCTGATTGTTTGGAGCTCGCCTTGTAACCAGAAGGTCCTGGGTTCCGAGCCCTATGGTGGGTGCGTACTGTGCTGTGAAGACTCCCAAACTAGTTTGACGAAACAGCTACCAGTTTAGCTGGTTTTTTCCAGTGGTTCTCTTACTGATGTGAGAACAATTTTGAACCATTTCACCAATAGTCTTCAACCATTGGTTATTAACGACACGTGATCCCGAAGTCCCCAACCAGACAGTGTATACCTCCTTATGTGGTTGGCTTAAAGCAATTGTCAAAGAATTAGTGGATTGATTCCAGATTTCTGTTTGATCACGGCTAACTCTTCTCTAACCTGACGCGTATATCACATAGCATATTACTTGTAAAAGGAAAGCGATGGATCTTTATGCATAACACATCTCCTAACCATCTCCAGTCGATGTATCTTCACAGCTGTATTAATGAAACTTTCCCTCCAACTCCTCAAATGCTAAAACCCTTTACTCACGTCATGTGTGACTTACAGTTTAGAAAATCAAAACAAGTGGTGATTCAGCGAAGAGATTCTTTTCAACAACGAATTTATCATCAAGCTGTACAATCGTATGTGTATATGGTTTTTAAGAAGTTATATCTGGTGAGGGAATTGAATCACAGGTGTGAATGCATAAAATAATAATAATAATCAATGAAGTTCAATTAAAACTAAAATGTTTGTGATTACAGTCGTAGTTAAATGTCAAGTGACAAGGCAAGTTAATGTCATATATAGAATAATTCATAGGATGGATAAAACTTGAAAAAGAGTGTGCAATTATAGGATTAGTAGACAAATCGAATAAAATAAAAACGTTACGTGATATTGTGTGAAATTTAATAGCATAGAATTTAACGTTACAAAAGAGAATTGATTTAGAATGACAAGTGGAACAAGTGAAATAGTACCGGGGACAGTTGAAAGTGAGAATAATAATAGTAACAATTGACGCAATAAGAAGAAGACTACAAATTGAATAGACAAAATGAAAAAATGAAAAATTGGTGGGGCTAAAATATGATTGGGGATTATCATATTTTAGCATAGAGGGATTAAGACCATGAAAGTTGTAGGGGCAGTTGAACGAACTTTTTCTGTACACAGAGATCTGGCTTTTCTGTTTCGATAGCCAAAGATGGCTTCAGCGATACACATGAATCGGATGGATACGTAGTGATTTCGGCAAATTACTCTTTGCCTTGTAGATGACTTTCAAGGTGGAGGCTATAGAGATAGATCGGGTGATCATTATCGACCAGATGTTCAAGGACGGCGCTTCTTATTGCTCCACTTCCACCTCTTCGTAACTACCATACAGGATAGTGTTTTGCATCCTTTTGGACAAAACTCGAGTCGAACGACCGATATACCTAGCTCCACAAGAGCAGGTGAATTGATAAACACACATAGAGTTGGCCAACAGCTGAGAGATCTTGTCCTTCAGGTTATTGAACAATAATGGTCGGCTAGTAAAGGCTATTCTCAGAGATGCAGTAGGGAATGTTCTTTTTTCAGGGACTGTAACATCCTTCGTTTCATGATATCGGAAGCTAAGTCCCCTTTGAATTCCAAGCTCATGTACAGTGTTTTCTTGGGTGCGGGTGATAAGTCACGTTTTATAGGATTTGAATGTATATTCTTATATATAAAACGTGGTGGAAATCCATTTTCTATTAGGATTTTCCTCAAACGGTATAACTCATCTTCCACCGTATCAGGGCTACATATGCACCGAATGTGAGTGGCAAGCGACCGGACTAGGTTTCGTTTTCGACCAATCGGTACCCAGCTGTAGAAAATTGTCAGTTGACCATTCCATGACAGCTTTCGATAAATTGATCTTCTCAGAGTTCCATCGGTCCTCCTTGATAAGTTCACATCGAGTAAATGAATGCTAGACTCGCTCTCCATTTCGAGTGTGAATTTTATCACAGGATGGCAACCATTTAATACATTTATTATTTTATTCAAGTTACAATCACTATTACAAGTAATAAAGATGTCATCTACACTTGAAAGCTTTGGATTGTAGGCTTCAGGGGACCATTTTCTAGACTGAACATAAAACAGTCTGCAAGGAGAGGGCTTAAGGGAGAACCCATTGCAGTACCATCCTTCTGTCTGTAGACTGTTTCATTGAAAGTAAACTGTACATTGAATGAACATCTCAAAAGTAGTTCTTTCAGATCAGTAGTGGGTATTCCTATATTCAATTAGTTGTCTTCAATTATATATATGCATATAAAACATATGGTTTCTGTTAGTGGAACGTTCGTAAATAGAGATTCTACATCCAAAGACAACATATGTTTATTCGAAACATTTGTATCTTGTATACATTCGACAAATTGGAAGGTGTCCCGAAGAGAATGATTAGATAGTTGTCACCTGACAGGTTCGAGGATTTCAGCTAACCACCTAGCTACTGGATGATAAAGCGATCCAGACATATCCAAGATAGGGTGGAGTGGAAGGCTAGCTTTGTGTATTTTCTTCAAAAGACTTTCAGTTTAGTCTGTGTGTTTGAAGATACCCGACCTAATATGAAGTGTGAATGAATTATTTTGCTTGTAGATAATCTGTTTTGCTTCAAAATAACCTAACTTAACATGACATAACTAACTAACTGAATAACGGATATCATTCTTTTGTTGTTGTTGTTTTATTATTTTGAATACATTTTTTAACAGGTCAGTACAACTAATCTACATGTGGATATCGCTGATGCTGTTAATGTTATGCTGTGTGTAGGTCAACCAATAGATTCATCAAAAGATATGCTAACAAATGCTGAAAATGTGCTGAACACATTAAAGTGTTCACGTGTGGATAATAGTTATCTTGACAGAACTGTCAGTTGGTTGAATCGACTTAAATCCTGTCATAATAATAATAATAATAATAATCGAGAATTTGGATTCGATGGTAAGATAACTTCTTTTTCTTGATGTTGTTATTGCTGTTATTAAAATTGTTAGTACTGGCATACTTCTGATTTGAGATGATTAAAAATGCTGACATCTAAGAGGGACAGGAGTATCCATTCTAAGCCTTATAAGTCTGCGTTAGGCTATTCTGTAGATTTTGATAATGGTGGATGATGATTACCAGTGGAATCCAGGATAATGCGCATTTCGTCCTATGTGGGACTCGTCAACTAACTGAGAATGTACCTGCATTCCTCAGTGGGTGGTGGGTAATGATGTTCCCAGGCTGAAGGCTAGAACCCAATGTCCATAGTTTCAAACACCAGCCAAAGTGTTATCCACTAGTAGACCACTTGAACCACAAGAGCTGGTCACCTTTTGTGCAGCGGGTCACATTAATTAATTGTTTAATTTAAATTTAGATTTTCTAGTGGATTGATTAGACCGAAGTGCTTGGTCTCAGGTTGACATGTCTGTCGGCTTCTTGTGCAGATGTTTCAACGATGTCTAGGCATGTGGTCAGAACGAAATGCGCGTTATCCTGGATTCCACTGCTAGTCACCGTCCACCAATTAACTTCTAACTACATGTAGAGACATCGTCGAAGCATCTGCACAAGAAGCCAACAGACATGTCAACCTAAGACCGAGCACTTCGGTTCAGTCAATCGACAGGAAAGTCTAAAATTCAATTGAATTATATTCTCTAGATTGTCTGTAAGAGATAAGCTAAATTGCCTTTGAAATATCGTTTTGGGACTTGCTTCATATTCACATTTTTCAAGTTAAAATTATCAATGTAGACATCTTTGCACAACTTTGTTTTTGGTGATTTAATAGTGGGAGCGTTCTCCAACTACTCAGGCGGTTCGGATTCGTTTCCTAGTTAAGACACTCTTAAAACTCTCTCAACCGGGTTGTACGCTTAGTAAAGGGAGAAGGCTGGTTGTGAGACTAGCATACCCTTCCCCCGCCGCTGACACAACTCGTATAAACAACGCCCCTATATCTATTGAATCTTTAAAGCTTGAAGTCGCATGTTTTAATTGGAACCCCAGCTAAGTCATTATTAGACTGCCGTTGGAGAAAGAGAACATGGCACTGTTGGATGTACCTCTAGAAACACATCAACACTGTATTGATGCATTTTATATGTTGTGGCTCTCATTTGAGTTTAGTTAACGATCATGTCAGATCTCAATGTTGAGAGTAGGTCTGCTGGATGGGTTTAGACAGAAACAGGAATTAGAATTTTGTGAGTTCCAGGCGAAACAGAAAACAGAAATTTAGCGTCTAGAAAAGAAATTGGATTTACTAACACACTGAAGGGTAACATCAGTTGAGTTTACGTATGTGATGATAACGATCACGATAGACAGTCACATAACCTTATTAACTCAAATATTAAGACGATAACTGATTGTTTCTCTAAAGGAGTTGATATTTTTGATAGTGTTGGAAACGAAGCAAATGTAAGAGTGTTACCCTTCATTGTCAGCCTAGAGCTGTGTGCATGATACGACTTTCCAAGCTATCAAGCATTCGTCTAGCTAACTCATTGATCCCAAATACGACTTAGGTTTTCAACTTACAGGGTAGAGAGACTACAAAATGATCTTTGTCATTAAATGTCCCTCACTTAAATACGTCAATCATCTTGAGATCATCTAGGGATGAAGATTCATCTCGAGAAGGAATGTACGTTGGCGAATTCATAGTGATGTATATGTTTTCAGAGCTTCTATAGTATTGAAGCTTCGTGACATAAGATTCACAACTCTTCAACTATATATGTTATAATTCATAGGTCCAAGGAGGATCCAACCAGATAGAGTCCTGGTAGCACATGAACTTTTTTTCCGCGCAGTCCTCTGGTCTAAAACTCAGTGGTCTTTAGTCACGTCAAACTCGGTGAGTAACAAGACTTCACCACCACCACCACCACCACCTAGTTCTGTCAAACGTACATCTGGTAGATGTGTGACCATTTCTTAGCTTTTTTATCTAACAGACCTTGTTGGCAGTCTCAATGGAAGATCCTTTCACAACAATAACCTGGTCAACGGTTGTAGATTTATTACCATCCTACAAATGAACTTCAAAGGCTTTACTGATAATTCTCTGATACACAAATATCATTAACTTCAAAACCTTCGACTTCATTCATCATCCGCATAACCCGCATAAACAAGCGAAGGCAGGACTTCAGGTGAACATAAAGAAGATGGAGGCTATAGAAAATCCAACCAACCAACACCAATCACCATTAAGGAGATAAATTTGACATGGGTGGGGGGGGTTAATTCCTTCATCTAGAATCATAGTTTCAACCACACAGGCAGTCGGAACGGATAAAGATGTCAAAGCCAACTAGCCAAAATCGGAAGGGGGGAAGATACACGTTGATCAATCGTTGGCCCCCTTGTTGATGATCAAATAGCCAGGTCAAGAAGAATCAGTAACAAGAAACTCTGGCTGGGAACAAACTAACCAATCAAGAACCGATTTCTCAACAAATATATAGGAGAAAGTGGAGATGTATCAAGCACATGCTGAGGAGGCCGTCGAATGACATCGTGGACAATGGAGGCCATCGCTCGGCGTGGAATCCAAATGGGAAGTGACGAATAGGTCATAGAGGAGATCATGTGTTGGCAAGGAGGAGATGAGAGATTATTGGTAGTCGTGTGGGGCTAGCCAGCTGTAGAGGACACAGTCCTTTGCAGTGTATTTCCGATTCATCGTCATTTCTTCTTTCTGCCTATTGTGTTGGGCGATGGGATTGTTAGCTGGTTCTCTGAATTGTCAGGAATCCTTGTTGTTTAATCTTCCGAAGCCTCAGGATGGTCGGGGGTGGGTGTCTTGCGCTGCGGGTTGGCCACCCCTCCGTACACCTCTTGAAATGCTCCCATATGACCAGGCGTCTTACATAGCCTCTCCTGAGGAAGTCCTACTCACTGCCTTCACGAGGAGGAGGTGTTTTTCACCAAAGTGAGAGGGCGAAAGCGGATGCCCGGCGCTCTTCACCGGGTTGACTGTCCATTGGATGACAGTCTAGGGGAGATGGTTAAACCCTGATTCCAAACCTCCAACGACTGGCATATGAAGCTCACCGGGAGACGTATGGACAAAGGGCTTATTGGATGCCCTGGATGACTGGCCCCATTCAAAAAAGCGAATGAACCGGACTCCGGTCACCGGCTGGCTTCCAATGGATAGTGGACTCCCTACTCCACTCCTACTGCCTTGTAGGTCACACTTGGTTGTGTAAAGGCTAGAGCTGCACTCTCAAACAAAAGGCCGAGCGATGCTGGGGACATCACTCGTACCCAATTCCCATGAAACTTCATGGTTCTTGAAACCGGCTCATCCTCCCGTAGTAGATAGCCGAAGTAAAGTAAAGTAAGTATATATATATATATATATAGTCGATTTTAATATTGCTCATAATATATTTTATTTTCCAGCATTAAACCTTATTGTTATATATTTATTTCTTTACTTTTACAAATTTTTCTGCTTGTTTGAAAAGATGTTCCTGGAGCATTATGGCATATTTTTCTGCCTGAAGATTCCGTTGTACTAAGAGAATTTCTCTCTAGAGTTAGTGAAGAAGAAACCGGCTCTCCTGTAGAATCTGGTAGTGATCCAATACATGATCAATTATTTTATTTGGATCAATCATTATTGGATCGATTATATGATTATGCAGGAATTCAACCGTGTACAATTGTACAATTTCTTGGTGATGCTGTATTCATTCCAGCTGGTGCTGCTCATCAGGTAAAGTGTGTAACGCTATAAAATACTTAGTGAATATAATTATAATTGATATTATTTTTATTATTCCCTTGGGTTCCTAGTGGAACATACGGCTTCAACTGAACGTCTCCCTCTATTTGCTTCTGTCTTCCTTCTACTGTACTTTTCTTTTCACCTGAATCCATCTTAGTCCATACTCTTTCAACTCCTCTTCACACCATCTCCTCCATGTCACCCACCCTCGCACTGACGTCCCATTCGCCGCTGGCTTCCCTTTCGGCCTGATTCCACTCGAGAAATGGCCTGACGCGCGCGCCAGGTCACCCAGTGGCCTCCTCAGCTAGCGAGTGTCCAATCCATCTCCACTTTCTCCTGCTGTATATTTGTTGGTTGGCGATTCCTTCTTGTTTTGTTTTGTTTGTTCCCATAGTTTCCCATAATTGGTGATTCTTTCCGACCCGGCCCTCTGATCTTCATTCAGTACAGAGCAATAGTTGACAGTTAGTTGTTGATAAAGGTCTGCAACCTGTTGGTGAATAAGTTGTTGTTTATTTCGACAACACAATAAGAGAAGACGTAGTTTATCTGAAACGTGTAATGTGCATATTTGCACAACACATTTCGGACATTCTGATCACACACACACACACACCAGTACTTGTCATAGTTTCTCTCCACTACAGTATAAAAAGGCGTTGGTTAAGTGTTGTTTGTTCAAGCACATTCACCGTATATGTACTGCCGATCCAGTTGAAGAAGAGAGATAACACGTCACTGAAATACTGTTAGATAACAATTACCCACTGAGATTTATTAGGAATTACGGAAGTGTCAACCCCATAGAGCTCTACCAATCCAATCAGCTCCTAAAATGGATGTTAACATATCCTTGCCGTTCAGGGGTGATCAACAAAGTCTGGTCACTAGACAAAGACTCAAGACCGTAATTAATAGGACTTATTATGCAGCTAAACTTATCTTCATAGAGAAAACGAGAACTATGCTGTCCCGTAAACCCTCACATTATCCGGACGACAGTGTCACATCCTGCTGTGTTTATCAATTTACATGTATGTATGTATGGAGGACAAGTACATAGAGAGAACCAATCGGTCTCTGCAGGTTAGGGTTACAGAACATATTCCAAAGTGGCTGAAACAACAATTACAATCGCCAGACACAAGTGAACCCGGAAATAAGTGTACAACATCATACATAGCGAAGCATATTATAGAGACGGGTCACAAGGTTGATTTCAACAATGCCTTTAAACCAATGTATATAACAAGGCCGGGTCACATACTTAAATTCGTTGAAGCCTTGGCTACAAAAAGACTTAAACCTGTCTTATGTGTCCAAAAGTTATTTGTTATTCCCTTAAACCTGCGTTGATAATCTAATTTAGGATCAAGGACCAATTTACTTTATAATATTTTCAACCCCTTCTTTGCTTTGTTTTTTCGCTTTTTTTATCATTCTTACCCACATGTTTTGCGTCTCCCTACCCATTATTTGTGACCTTGACGTGTACACAATCTGACGTTGTATTGTAATGATTCATGCCTTCTCGCCTTCTTTACAAACTGTGTATGACAAGTACGTGTGGGCGTAGTTAGATTTCATGGAAAGCCACTAGATGGGAACCCAGTGGCTTAATGGTCTACGAGCTCGTTAGCCTTGTAATCAGTAGGGGTCCTGAGTTCCAAATCCCTGTGGTGGGTGCGTACTGATGAATAGTTTCAAACTAGTCTGATGAATAAGCTGGCAGTCCAGTACCTACCATGGTGGTTTTCCAACAGTTGTCTAACTAACTGATGTCGTGTCTTATGATGAAATCCTGTAACTGAAATTCACCTAACTTTTAGGTTGATAAACATTCTCTGGCTAAGAGTGTCCTTATGTGAAACTGTCATAATGGATATACTGATTGGTTACTATGGTAGAATTTATTTGGCATTAAGACTTAGTCAGTAAAAGCATGTGTATTATTGATCAGAGTGTGTTTTGTTTCGTTTTTGTTTTGTTTTTTGTGTTTTTTCGTACTTTTATTTCAACATGTAAATGAACTACCTTACTGTGACACAAAATCACTCAATACGGAACAGGCTATGTACCATTTAGATTAGTGATTCACTGCATTATTATTGTTATTATTTTTATTTTCTCTAGTGCACTCAGCCTTATATGGCCTAATTTTGGCCAAGAATGTTTTATATGTGTATATCTATCTATGTTACTAACTATAGCTAAATCAGAATGGTGTGTGTGTGTGTGTGCCTGTGGGGGGGGGGAGGGGTGCTGTAATTGACCTGGTGTGTATGAATGATGTTGTCAATCCGGCGATAAAATAATTAACTGAGTCATGTGGGCCATAAATTGTAGGTGTTGAATATTTCACTTTATGAGAACCCCCTTGTTTGAGAGAATTACGCTATTGGTGTGATTGACTTTTGTTAAGTTAATCATGAGTAGTTTGACACAATTACCATATATATATTGTCATTGAGAAAAGAATTCACCTGGTCTTAGTTGGATTATCGATTGAGTACCGTTCAAGAGGTGCAAAACTAGGACGGAATAGTAGTTGTCCAGTGTCATTTGGTTTTCAGGGATTCACTAACCGATCTAATAATCAGTTGGTCGTTGATATAATGACTGGCAATAGAATCCCCAGGATGCTCATTTCGTCTTTATTCGAGTTTCGCCAGATGGGTGGGAACACCTGCAGACATTGTAACGATGGCCGATATGTCATCAACACATCTGACTAAATATTTCGGTCCAATGACAATCAATCAACAGAAAGTGCAGTGGAATTTAGATGATTATATATATTTTTGTTACAGGGGATTGTATAGTTGATGGTTAGCAATCGTTTCTGGAAGAAGATTCACTTGTCAAGTTGAATGACAGTCAGATTTTATGCCATATACTTATCAATATGCTTCACACATATCCTAAATGAAACCTCTTGAAAAATAACGTTGATACCAAGGTGACAGACTAAAGGGCGGGTGCACTGCTCAGCGAAGCAGTCCACTCCGTCCTCCTATATGGATGGCTGTGAGCGAGACCTGGACATTGAGAGTGGAACACATGAAAAGGCCAGCTAGCTGTCTTTGATCATAGGTACCTGCGTTCTATCTCCCGCGTGAAGTGGTAGGTGTAATAGGGTGACCAATGTTGAGGTAAGGCCTTGGTCGAGTGGTATGTAGGTGGGGGAGGGTAAATCAATCGACGAGGCTGTGAAGCAGTTACATCGACTGAAATGGTTAGGACATGTGTTACGCATGCCTAGTCATCCATCGCCTTCCTCGACAATGGGCAATGTTAGCTGACTGACATAGGGTCAGGGCTGGAAAAGAGCTAGCTAATGGTGGTCAAACCAAAACATAGCTTCACCAGTCAATGAAATCCACAACAATTAGTTTAAGCCAGACAGCCAGTGACGTAGGAAGGTGTAGACTTCCTGGTTGGCTGGTTGGGGTCCTCGGGACGGTAAACATCAATGATAGGCTGGAGGCGATTGGTGATATGGCTCAAAGTGATGGTTGTCAATGACTGGCTAGAGCAGATGCATCCGCTCCTTGTTACTTATGATTTCCAATGAAACTATATTGTTCTTCGTTACTATTACTATTCCTTTGTCTCACAACTCTGTTTATACTGTCTCCATTATGCATTTCTTCTACTTTCTTCTGTTTCTTTGTGTGGTAGAAGGAGTGGAGGGTGGCTACTTGAACTGTTGCACATCAGTGCAAAGTTCTATGGCAAATACAGGCAGACAGGTGACAGACTACGTTCCGCTACGCTTTGTATATTAATAAGGAAAACTATCGATCTATACATTGCCTAATCGAAGTAGTCTTTATTGAATATGATACTAAAAGAAGTTATAGATATTTATTGGATCCTGGTTCTCACTCTATTTTGGATTGGTCAACTCTGGGTAACAAGCAGTATTGTAAGCGTTCACGTAACACAAGTATTTTGTAGTGTTATCCTGATGGTGAAGATTTATGCCACAGCTAGATAATTTTCATGGAAATTGTGTTTTCTTCAGCACTGAAGATGTTGTCTAGAATGACAATGAAACCTAGGCAATTCAATCTATCCAGTTCAGAGAACACAACTACACCAAAGTGATAATCATCAGCTGATTTTGTCTGTGGCACTTGCAAAGAGAAATCTACCAATCAAAGAACATATAAGTAAGTAAGTTGCCTACTACACGTGCGTAGGCGTTGCACGTGTAAATTTGGTGTAAACACGTTACACAGTTTCCGTCTGTCTGTTTTCCACAGAGAACTTTCCACCGATGTGCAACAGTTCAAGTAGCCACCCTCCACTCCTACTACCATACAAAGTAGAAGAAATGCATAATGGAGACAGTATAAACAGAGGTGTGAGACAAAGGAATAGTAATAGTAACGAAGAACAATATAGTTTCATTGGAAATCATAAGTAACAAGGAGCGGATGCATCTGCTCTAGCCAGTCATTGACAACCATCACTTTGAGCCATATCACCAATCGCCTCCAGCCTATCATTGATGTTTACCGTCCCGAGGACCCCAACCAGCCAACCAGGAAGTCTACACCTTCCTACGTCACTGGCTGTCTGGCTTAAACTAATTGTTGTGGATTTCATTGACTGGTGAAGCTATGTTTTGGTTTGACCACCATTAGCTAGCTCTTTTCCAGCCCTGACCCTATGTCAGTCAGCTAACATTGCCCATTGTCGAGGAAGGCGATGACTAAGCATGCATGCGTAACACATGTCCTAACCATTTCAGTCGATGTAACTGCTTCACAGCCTCGTCGATTGATTTACCCTCCCCCACCTACATACCACTCGACCAAGGCCTTACCTCAACATTGGTCACCCTATTACACCTACCACTTCACGCGGGAGATAGAACGCAGGTACCTATGATCAAAGACAGCTAGCTGGCCTTTTCATGTGTTCCACTCTCAATGTCCAGGTCTCGCTCACAGCCATCTATATAGGAGGACGGAGTGGACTGCTTCACTGAGCAGTACACACGCCTTTTAGTTGACAGTCAGCTGGATATCACGTCTACCAAGCCAGAAACAGTGTAAACTGGCATATGCGAAACTAGTCCACAGTTTCTGATTGGTTGATTTCACTTTGCTAATAATCACAGCTAAACAGCTGATTAATAAATGGCTTTATTCAAATGGCCTACGCTAACTAAGACATCTTTTCATGGATAGACGACAGTTGGTAGGCGATTCTCATGAAATGAGATACTCATTCTTTTTTAGGGGGGAGTTGAGATATTTGTTCATGGCAATAAATTAATGTTTAATGCAAAATAAATTCATATAACTGCGATTAATTATTAATTAATAATTTATTTATTATTTATTTATTTTTCTCATCTTCATGATTGGTTGTTTTTTGCAACAGGTTCGTAATTTAAACAGTTGTATTAAAACAGCTGTGGATTTTGTTTCACCTGAACACCTACCACAATGTTTCCAGCTGTTAGAAGAATTTCGTCAATTATCACCAAATCATTTAAATCGTGAAGATAAATTACAAATTAAAAATATGCTATTTCATGGAATTAAAGATGCTTTGTCAGTTCTGTTGACTACTAATAGTAATAGTAATGGTTCCAATGAAAATGAAGTCAAATGTTATAAGTCGTTAACAATGGATTCAGAGCATAAATTATCTCAGTGTACTACTACAAAGATAGATGGTATCGACCACCGACAAGATAACGTTGATAATAGGCCACTCCCATCGTCGGACATGTCGGATATAAAGGTGAATATCAAATCAGAATACCTACATAATAATAATAATAACAATAATGGTAATAGTAATACAAATGTTATGAAGTCGAGTAATCATAATTCAAGAAATGGAGGTAATAATGGTGGAGGACGGACTAGAGGTCGACCTGGGGGTGGTGGTGCTGCCGCTGCTGCTGGTGGGGGTAGATCAAAAGCACCATCATCATCATCCGATTTAATCAATCCTCCCCTTGCTCCTCCCCCTCCCTCTGCTCCGCATCTTCATCCTCAATCGTTCACCTCATCGTCGGTTTCATCAATGTCATCTTCCTGTAGTTCCATATCGAATGCATTTTCCAGTGTTTTTACTCCTGGTATTGACAACAGTCTCCTTACAAATTCTTTGAATATACCTTCAAGAGATTCTATGTGTACAGCATCGTCACCGGCATCATTGTCTTCGTCGTCAGAGAAAATAATGAAGAGTGGTGATATTATAAAACCAAATAATAATAATAATCTTATGATTACTACTCATCCTAGTAATAATTATGATTGTGATCGTATTCCGCCTATCACCACCACCACCACCAACATTAGTTCTTCAACGTGTTCCCCTTCCCCGTCAACTACTACACTTTCATCTAGTCCAGATATTCTGCATATTCCAGCATCATCATCGTGCTTCACATCATCATCATCATCATCATTGTTACCATCGTTATCCTGTGGATCGTTATCCTGTCAACATCATCTACAGCATCAACAACATCCTCATCATTGTCAACAACCTCAACATCAAAATGGTTGTACTGGCCATTTTTCATAATATGAATCAGAAAGAATACTTGTCCACAATTATCCCCGAGATGCTGTTTTTACAGATTATACCGCCACACACACACACACACACACAAGGAAGCATAAATGTGAGTAAAAAATGAAAAGTGGAAAAAAGAGAAGAAGAAGAGCAACAAGAACTGTAATTATTACAGTGTGATGACTGTGTTGTCTCTGAACTCTTCCACACGTATTCACATACTTTTCTCTCCACCTACCTAGCTACCTACCTACCTGCCAACCTACCTACCTACTTATTCATTCTTGAATACAGAAGTGTTTCAGAAGGTAAAGAAGTCTTTGCGTATGTGTGTGTGTGCGTATCTGCGGTCTATGTATGTATGTGTATGTGACCAGTTTGTTTGTTATCAGGGTGTTATCCAAACTTCATCCACTTGAATAACTAACTAACTCTTTTAATCCCCTTTATTCAACTTCAATGAATAACCAACCAACCACCATCTGCCACTCACAAACGCACACACACACACATAAACAGAGAGAGGGAGAAACAAATCCACCCACCCACAAGTATTCCTTTTTATTTCAAATCAGGCATGCGCGCGCGCCATATCTCTTCTTATCTTCATGTCTTACTGTTTATTAAAGCATATATATATATATATATATGGTGAATATGTATATGGTGATGACAGAAATATTTTATTTTAAAAAAGAGAAGTGTAATTCAGTCAGTCATTTGTATAGTTTAATTTTTATTGATTTATTTGCGTTTATTTTCTTTCTTTTTTTTTCTTTCTTTCTTTGTTTGTTTTACATTTACATGAAAATCTGTTGTCCATATTTTGTTCAGCTATTTTTTTCTTCAATTCCTCGCACGTCGTATGTGTGTGTATGCGTGTGTGCGCGTGCATGCGTGCGTAACCCAACGCACTTGTCTAGATGTAATATTGTCTATTTCTGTTGCTGTCAGTTTTACTATTCAGCATCCTTTTACCACTCACATTCAATGTGTGTGTGTGTGTGTTATTAAAAATTTAGAAAATCTACTATCATTATGAATCAATTAATTAATTCTAGTAATTACTACTACAATGATGATGATTATTCTATGAGACTACTTTAATGACGGAAATTATTATCATTTCTTATTAAGTATTATAATTATAATTGAAAATAATTTATCAATTTATCTTCTTTTAAGTTGTCTTTCGCGCATAAATCTGTATGTGTGTATGTATGTATGTAGGTATTTATACACCCCGGTCATGTATGTATGTGTATGTATGCATCTACGTGTGTTATGCGTACGGATGTGTGTGTGTGTGTGTGCGTACATACGTACGTGTGTGGGTGGATGGATGTTTGATAGACATGAAAACAATAGGATTAAGGGATCCCTTTCAGCCCTATTGACAATGATTTACTCGATGATATGCCCCTCCCTCCCTCTCGCTATCTATCTAGGTGAATGTCGACATAGACAGACACATGGGCAGATAGATAGAAAGACAGACAAACAGATCGATAGCAGACACACATTTATTGATTACAGTTTCAGTTTTTATCGTGTTTGTTTCATTCACTGCCTGACTGACAGTTTTGGGTTCTACACAAAATCTTTCCTTCTCTTATTTGTGTTTATTTTATTATTTCGTTCTTATTTACTTTTGATTTTAATTATTTCTGTGTGTGTGTGTGTGTGTGTGCGTGTGTCGGCGTGCGTCTTCACTCCTCTTTTCTTTGCATAGATTTCAGGCGTATAATTATTGTCATTTTTTATTACGTAATCAAGATGCAATTGTTTTGTTTTTCCGTTTTGTTTAGGCCAATTTCTCTTCATACTATGAAATTGTTTGTCATATTTTACATTATTATTATAAAAAGTATTTCACATTCATTCTTTCGCACACACATGCACACACACACACACAAAAGCAACAAGCTTATGTTTTGTTTTGATATACATCTATATATACGTATACATGTATGTAAACATATTCTGATGTTGTTATTGATTTATTGATTTTTTTTATCAGACATGACAAGGTATTGTGTCTAGTAGGGAAGGGGGTGGGGAATGCAGTGGGATGGGGATCGAAGTAACAATAGGATATGCTTGCTTGGTTACAGAATTTCATCATGAGCTGACACATTGGTTAGAGAACCATTGGAAAACCTGTATGGAGTACTGGACAGCTGGTTGTTTCATCAGTCTAGTTTAGGACTCTTCATCCAGTTTTTACCATAGGTTCACAGTTCTTAACCTTAGGACAGTGTTGAGTATACTTGTCAGTCAGATGAATTCGCATCGAAGTCCTCCACTTATGCGTCGGTGGCACAGTGGTTAGGACTCTCGCCGACTATGCACACATGGTCTGGAGTTCGATCCCCTGACGACGAAGCACACCTGATATCTATGGTCGGCCTGCAAAATTTGGGCTACCGATATCACCTGCTGAAAATTCCATACCTGTACCAAAAATACGATGTGGAATCAAGCTATAATAAAAAAAATAAAATACTTTAAGGGATTAGAGAGAAAAAACCGTTTGCGTGATTTTATTTTTGTAATTTAAAGTTTAATGCATTAGCTAGAAATACATGAGATACCGTGTAAGAAAAAGTAATAGTGAATATTGATTGACTGTCTAACTGGCTGTTTTAGTAGTAACGCCTTACAACATTTGTTTCACAATAATTAGCACACAAAACCATTCTATAATTATGATCACCAGTATCACATGACTCTAGAATAATCATGTGTTGAAACAATGTAAATTGGCAAAAAGACGAGAATTCAGACAGACGGATAGATGATGAATGGGTAATACGTAAGAAAGCGGATTTCATGATGAGCTGATATTGGTTAGAGAACCATTGCTAAAACCATCGGAAGTACTGGTTTGGGACTCTTCAGCACAGTACGCACCCACCGCAGGGGGTTCGAACCCAGGACTTTCCGGTTACAAGGCTAGCGAGTTCGTAGGGTAAGTCCAACAATAGCGTCCCAGGAGGCGAACGCACGAATGACCTTCAGCTGACCATCATAAAAATGAGGATTGTTTGATAAGAAAATGCTTGAAAACCCATTGAACAGGTTATTTTTCTCTGGCGCGGCTTAAAAATACGTCCTAGTTGTAACGAGGAGTAGACTAGTTTCTGTACGCGTTTTCACCGAGATGACTACAGATAAACTGTTTTTGTGAATCGTTTATCTCTCACATCCTGCTTGCAGTTTTCAAAACAGCCCTCGGTTGAATTATTATGGTTTCCAGCAAGAGGATTGACAACCACTTACTGGGAAAATGTGCATAATAAAACAAATTAAAATAAATGACATCAACTATAAATCTATCCCTAATCGTAATCATAAGCTTAATCCTGACCCTAAAACTAACTCTAACCTTAATTTCAACCCTAATCATAATCCTTATTCAAACCAAAATTCTAACCCTAATGCTAATTATAACCCTGATCCTCACCCCAAACCCCGATAATCACCTTAACCTTAATTCTAACTCTAACGAGCTATTAATACATTGTCCAAACAGCACTTAAAAACGTAATCTGGTTGAAATTTCCCCCTGTGTTGGTGAATAGCGTTGATATTTACTTACTTTTTACTTTACTTCGGCTATCTCCTACGGGAGGATGAGCCGGCTTCATGAACCATGAAGTTTCATGGGAATTGGGTACGAGTGATGTCCCCAGCATCGCTTGGCCTTTTGTTTGAGAGTGCAGCTCCAGCCTTTACACAACCAAGTGTGACCTACAAGGCAGTCGGAGTGGAGTAGGGAGTCCACTATCCATTGGAAGCCAGCCGGTGACCGGAGTCCGGTTCATTCGCTTTTTTTAATGGGGCCAGTCATCCAGGGCATGCAATAAGCCCTTTGTCCATACGTCTGCCGGTGAGCTTCATACACCAGTCGTTGGAGGTTTGGAATCAGGGTTTAACCATCTCCCCTAGACTGTCATCCAATGGACAGTCAACCCGGTGAAGATCGCCGGGCATCCGCTTTTGCCCTCTCACTTTGGTGAAAAACACCTCCACGTGAAGGCAGTGAGTAGGACTTCCTCAGGAGAGGCTATGTAAGACTCCCGGTTATATGGGAGCATTTCAAGAGGTGTACGGAGGGGTGGCCGACCCGCAGCGCAAGACACCCACCCCCGACCATCCTGAGGCTTTGGAGGCGCCGTTAGCCAACGACTAGCATGCGTTCAATGTCATTGAAGCGTTCACACTCCTGGGACGCTATTGTTGAACTTCACCCCTCGTAGATCATTAAGCCACTGGGACTCGATCCAATGGCCAGCCAGTCCATGAATTCTAACTTCTGCTAAGAGTCCCAAACTAGGCTGACGAGACAGTTGGCTATCCAGTACTCCCAGTTGGTTTTCCAATGGTTCTCTAACCAATATCAGCTCATCCTGTAATCAGTCAATCAGATCCCAACAAATCAACCCTTGAAAAGCGGATTTAATATTTCATCTCCTTTGAGAGAAAAAAAGGTCACATATACACACAGAAACTTATTTATAACACAATGGAGTTGATTGTTTGATTGATTGACTGAGAGTGACGCATCTGAAAAAAGGATTTTTGAATTGAGAGTGTTTTCTGTTTTTACCTAAGACTATTTACAAAAAAACACCATTTTTTATATTCGCGCAAACACTAACTTTATTATTATTATTACTATTATTACCTTTTTAAAGTGTTAGTATCCCAGGTCTGAATTGATTGAAAGATCGATCAAGAATTGATGTTATTTCGAGAACCATTGAAAACCGGCGATGATATTGCCATATGCCTTTTTTTTTTGAAATGACACCACCTGGTTTATCCTTGTAGGCATTAGGACGTTTCATATCGGTAAACAGGCCAAAATATACCAGGAGGATTTCATGAAAATTCAATAATGATATACGTTAAACTTTTTGCACTTACTGACTCGTTTAATCCATGACAACATCAAGCAAATAATATGAGTCAGTATCAAGCGAGATTTTCTGATAAGTGTGCAG